GGTGTGGGGGTGGGGAAAGAGTGGCATAGTGCCCTTTATCAGGGCTCTGCTGATCTCTGGACTGTCATGCCCCCTCCTCCCGCCCGGGTGCAGCAGAAGTGAGAAAGGGGAAGTCTCACCCCCAGTGAGATGTGCCTGCTTTATCGGCACAGCCTCTGAGCAAGTGGGACCGGCCCTCCTGTAGATTCACCCCGAGCCAGACGGGCACGGAAAGGCCTGGGATGGGGAGAGGAGGGAAGGGAGGGGCGACTGTGCCAGTGATCTGGGGCAGGATTCGGGGGCAAACACATACATGGTGCCTGGGGGGGGGGACACAGATGGAGGGAGATCCCTGGCAAAGGGACGCGGGGGTCCACTGCTGTCAGTTGGCAGGGAAGTTATCGTGCTCACATCCCCATGCTGGAGCAGGCAGGTGTTGGGTTCAGTGCAGCCCCTTGGCTATTGCTGTCTGAGAGGCGGTAGCCGGGCCACGAGCCATTCCGAGCTGTCACCAGGGCTGGCAGGGGGGACATCAGTGCCACCGGGGGCCAGCTGAAGCACACCACCTTCCTGCCACATTGCTAATGATCCCAGTGCCGGGGGCTTGTGATGCCACAAAGCGGAATGGCGATGCCCAGGGGGACGGTGAACTCCCGGGGCCGGCCGCTATTTCTGGGCTTTCGCGACTTGCTCGCACTCGTATTCCCCTTGACTGGAGGAGCAGCAATTGCTTTGTCTCTGAGTTTGGTTATTTATAGAGCCGTGTCCCCGATTGCGTTGCTGAGTCAGTTGGATCACTTCTCTCGGCACCTGGGGCGGGCTGGGGTAGGGTCACTGGCGGGCTGCGTTTGAGGAACTGTTCTGAGAGGCCCGCTCCTCCCCGGACACCGAAGCAGCCGGGGGGTTCGGAAGAGTGCCCCATGGAGGGTGCTGGGATCCTGTGACCGTCTAGCCACTGGTGTCACAGCTGGGGAAAACCTGGCCCTTTCGGTGCCTAGATGGGCATTGGGCCCTTTGGAAAATCAGTCTCTGGTTGTGGTACTTAGCCCGAGGAGTGTGATTGCAGGGAGTGGCCAAGCGCTGTATTTTAAAGCCTGTTGAAATTGTACCGCACGGGCAGCAGAGGGAGCTGAGGAGCACCGGGCATGTATTATTGTAGGGCCTGCCTAAACGGTTAACTGGGGTGTTTTTTTCTCATTGGCGTGGGGGGAGTGGCGCATTGCGAATCGGGAGGGCGTCCTTCAGCCGATCTGGAGGGAGGCCGAATTCCAGGCCTGGATTCCTTGCGATTCTCTCTCATGCTGGGGGCTGGGCTAGGCTAGACTTTCTGCCATAGCAACACGCCTCTCAAATGCGCTCCCTTGCCAGACCCCCAGGTGGCTGGGACCCCCTAATGCATGGGCATGCCCCCCGTGGGGAATGGGAGTGAGGGGATGCATCTCCCTC